AGAAGGTCGGCAAGCTACAGGGAAGAGGGGGTATCCGTGCTGGGGCTTCGAAGGATGAATAGAAGTCTGCCAAGTAGAAGATAGGACGGGAAAGACATTCTCAGGAAAGGATGGAAAAAGCAAAAGCACAGAGAAACACAAGTGTGCTGTTTGTTCTAGAAATAGCAAGCAGCTCAGCGTAGCTGGGGCGGACACTGTGAGCTGTGAGAGGAAAACTAAGAATGATGACAGAAAAGCAAGCAGGAAATTGTACAATGCTTATGGAGGTTGAGTACTGCAAAAACTTTTCCCTGTGACCCAGAGATCCTCTACAGAAGTGTATCCGTGGCGACATCCTCACGTACAAAATGGCTTGTGTGCAAAGTTCTCTGTGGCTGTACTTTCTGGACTAGCCAAGAGTACAAGTGTCCACCACTACAGGACTGATTAAATAAACTATGGAATACCTCCACAGTGGACTACTATCAGCTGTAAAAAAAATATAACTTTCATGTACAGATATTAAAAAGCTCTTCAGAATATCTTATTAAACAAAAGCCAATTGTAGCCCTTTTCTATGTTTAAAATTACACAGTTAAAAAATCAAGTTTCAGAATAGTGTATATAATGTGTTACTTTCATAAAAAAAACGGTATTTGTGTTGAGGTCATTTGCATGAAACACTTAAAGGGTGTGCAAAACATTAATGAAAAGAGTTACATAACACGTGGATCCAAACAGATTAGCAGATGGGCGAGTAAGACTTCTCACTGTAAACTTTTTTTGTATGACTTAATCTTTGAACCACATCAATATATTACCTATTCAAATGTAAAACTAGCCCTTGCTGGTGTGGCTCAGTGGATTGAGCACGAGCCTGTGAACCAAAGTGTCACTGGTTCGACTCCCAGTCAGGGTACATGCCTGGATTGCAGGCTGGGTCCCTGGTTGTGGGCGTGCGAGGGGCCGCCAACAGGTGTTTCTCTCTCACATCAATGTTTCTCTCCCTCTCTTTCTCCCTCTCTTTGCCTCTCTCTGAAAATAAGTTAATAAAATCTTTTTTAAAAAGTAAAATTACATTAGAAAGTATTGTTACCCAAGTGAGTTAAAAATTTGTGTCCACAAAAACAAACCTACACGAAAATATTTATAGCAACTTATTCATTACTGCCAAAACTTGGACACAACAAAGAGGCCCTTCAACAGATGGAGAAAAAATAAACTGGTACATCCAGATGTGGACCACTATTCAGCGCTGGAAAGAAATGTACTGTCGAGCCAGGAGAAGACATGTGAAAGATAACAAGCTGAAAAGAATATATGCTGTGCGATGCCATCTGAACGACATTCTCGGAAGGGCAAAACTATGGAGACAGCGAAGAGGTCAGTGGGAAGGAGAGGGTGAATAGGTGGAACGCAAAGGATTTTTCGGGCCGTGAAAACACTCTGCGAGATACTGTGATGGAGGCTACAGGTCATTACACACTTGTCCAAACCCCTAGGGTGTACAACACCAAGAGTGAACCTTAAAGTCATCTATGGAGGGTGTCAATACTGGCGCATCCATGATAAAAAGCATTCCACACTGAGGCACGAAGTTCTTAACAAGGGAAGCTGGGAGGCGGGGGTGGGGGTGGTGAGGGGTTATATATAGGAACTCTCTGTACTTTCTGTTCATTTTTCTGTAAATTTAAAGCTGCTCTAAAAAAAATTAAGTCTGTTAATTTGAAAGAGAGAAAGGAAAGGAAAAGTGAGCAGGGTGCCAGCTGGGAAGAGGCCTGAACGGCGTACAAATTGGCCTGGACTCCCAGCCTATAAACACAACTCAACTTCTTTAAACACGGCAGTGGAAGAGCTGTGTTTTGGGAAAAGAAAAAAAAATCTGGTGACCCTAAAACGGATAAGACTCAAGGACAAAGAGACTAGGGCACCAATAAGCAGATTATGGAAGGGAGGGGGTGGGCGTGAATGAGATGGCAGCGGCTGGGGCGGGGGAGGGGGGAGCGGGGGACACAGGGGAGGAAGCAGCAGGACTTGGTGACAGCTGCCCCTGTGCGCGCGGGGACGAGTAGGAAAACGAGGGTCAACGTTTCCCTCCTGTTTCTACATTAAACTGTGTGGCAAACAATGGAACTGTTAGAGGAAACGGAGCAAAATGAGATGGGAAAAATGGATTTGGTTTCAGACAGGTGAGGTTATTCTACCAGCAGAATGTGGATGTGGAAATGTACAGAGGCAGCTCAAGACACAGGTTTGCGACTCACAAAAGAGGTCAGAGCTGCCTGAGACACTCATTCTGGGGTGTATCAAGCTACACTTATTTATGCAAGAGACACAATTTAACCTACAGTGCATTTGAGTAGTAATAAACCAGGGGCTAAATAGTGAAAAGAAGCTATTTCCTAAAATGACTGTAACCATGAGACTAAAATATTAATTAATTAGCCTATCCACCAAAAAGGAAAACAAATTTTCTAAAATATTTATTTCAGACAACATGTATGCAATCGTCACCCCTCATCCACAGGGGCCGCATGCCTGGCAGCACCTGACCCTATATACACTATGTTTCTCTCTCTCCCTCTGCGAAAGTTTAACTTATAAACTAGGCACAGGCAAAGATTAACAACAATAACTAGTGGTGAACTAGAACAATTAAAACAGAACACTAATTTGAAAGAACATAAGCACTGCTATGTTCATTGCACAGTTATTACAATCGCCAAGATAGAAGCGGCCCAAGTGTCCATCAGTAGATGAGTGGATAAAACAACTACAGGACGTTTACACCATGGAATAACTACTCGGCCATAAAAAAGAAAAAAGTTTTACCCTTTGCAACAGTATGGATGGACCTGGAGAACATTATGCTAAGTGAAATAAGCCAGTCAGAGGAAGACAAATACCATATGAATTCACTCATACGTGGAATCTAATGAACAAACTAAACTAACAAGGAAAATAGAGACGGACTCATCAACAGAGACCAGGATGACAACTAAGGGTGGGGGGAGGGGAGGGGGGAGGGATTGAGCAAAAAAGGATAAAGGACTCACGAACATGGACAACAGTGTGGTGACTGTGGGGGGAAAGGGGTATAAGGGGACTAACAGAAAAGATACAATAAAAATTTATTTGGAAAAAATCAATATACTATAATAAAACTTAAGTGAATGTGGTCTCTCTCGCAAAATACCTTATTGTACTGTACTCACCCTTTTTCTTGTGATGATGTGACACGAGGAAGTGCCTTATTAAGTCAAGAACTTTCACCTTTTCATTTAAAGGAAGCACTTTACAGCTTCCCTTTGGCATGCCCACATTGCTAACCTCATGACGCTTGTCCTTTGGGGTCAAGATTAAGTAAAATAAGGGTGATTTGAACACAATCACTGGGACACTGTGACAGTCTGAATCCAAGATCGCTACTAAGTGACTGAAAAGACCTTTAACACCTATTCCTTGTTTTTTTTTTTTAAATAGGAATTGATGTATACTTTTTAACATGATAGAGCTATATAATTCTCAGTCCCAAAGCCAGAGTCTTACTTAACAGGGAAGTATCGGAGGCTGCCCTGCTCAGGTCAGGCACAAAGGCAAAGATACCTACTATCTCCACCACTGTTAACGTTGAACCCAAGCTATAAGCCCATCAGACAAGAAAACAATGGGAGAGTAAAGAAAGAGCAATCAAACCACCTCTGTGTGCAGATGTTATAACAGTATACCTGGAAAACCCAAAAGAACCGTTAGTAAGAGCTGACACAACCAATAAAAGAATTTTAGTAAAATTAACAAAATAATCAACATAAAACTTTGACCACACACTCTGGGCATACAGAGAAGTGAGCACTGTCATGCACTGCTGGTGGGAATGCAAAATGGTAGCCACCTACAGAAGTAAGTTTGATAATATCTAACAAAAGTACACACTTATTTACCCTGTGACCCAGCAATCCCATTTCTAGGCACCAATCCCAAAGAAATGCTGACAAAAACTGTTTTATTTAAGCTCTCAAAATAGAAATTGATGGATAGATTTTTTACTGTAATAAAAATATATAAACCAAGACCAGACACTGTGACAGATAAAGTTTTAGCACTACTCATATTACCAAAACACTGAAAAACAACCCAGATTTCCAGGATCATGGGACAGATTAAACTATGATACAACTACAGAATGGAATACCATGCAACTCTAAATGAGGAATGAAGAACATCTCTGTATACCATGTGGAGTGATCTCCAAGACCTGGTTTTAGTTGAAGAAAGCGAAGTGAAGAAAAGTGTGCTGTGCATGACATGTTACCATTCCCCTGAAAAAGGAAGGAAGGGCCTGGGTGGATATGTGTGTGTGTGTAGTTTATTACGTGCACACATCACTGTTTAATGAAAGAATAAACCAAAAAACTTCCCAAACATGGTTATCAACAGGAGAAAAAGGAAACGGAGTAAAGAAGAAACATGAAAGCTGGTCTTCTATGAATATCCAGACATCCCTCATTTTATTGTGCTGCGCTTTATTGTGCCTCACACATGATGCTGTTTTTTGTTTCGAATTGCAGTTGACACACAATAGTATATTAGTTTCAGGTGTACAACATAGTGATTACACATTTATATAAGAGACCACCCCCGATCAATCTAGTACTCAAGAGATGTTACTTTTTTTTCTTTTTTTTTTTTTAACAAAATGAAGGCCAGATCCTCCACCAGCAAAGACACTCGGTTGATTGCAGTGGCCTGGAACCAAACCTGCAATATCTCCAAAGTATGCCTGTACCTTGTTTTGTAGACTTGACTTTGGAACCATGTAAATATTTGACTTAATTATAAAATAAGTGCCATAGCAACAAACATAGACTTCTCCATATGACCCTGTTTTTAAGGCTATAAACAAACATAATGGAAAGAAGAATCAACAAAGCCAGCATGACAGCTCGGACCAGTGAACAGGCTTCCATGAAAGAAGCGAAGGTGTTCTGAGCCAAAGCAAGAGACTGCAACGCATCACTCACCTCCACCTTGCTCTCCGGTCCGTGGTCAGCAGCCGGGAAATACACAACCTCTTGTACTTCATCCCTGGGCCGCGCTGAATTTTTCCCGAATACCACGAGACCGTCCTTAGCACGCGGTGGGAAGGCCACCAAACAGCAGCTTGGAGGGGCTACCGCCATGCTGAAAAGAGAGCGGATGTCAGAGACGGCACGGAAGCGGGTCTAACGTGGAACATTCCAGCAGTGAGTCCTTCGAGCACATTCATCAGCTAAGATAGTTTTAGTACCGAACTGTGTGCAGCGAGCTCATTAGGAGATCCCGGCTGGCACATGAAGGCGGGTGCCTGGAGTCAAATTACAGAGCCACCGAGACCAGATAATGTTTGTATTCCGTGGGATTAAACGAGCTCAGATGGGCAACAGCCTGCAGTGCCAGCCAAAAGTGCAATGACGTCGGAGAAAGGAAAGTAGGTTATTGTTCCAGGCAGAAACCACATGCTCACTGCAGTCTGTCACAGCAACAAAGAAATAAATCAATATACCTTGTAACGCTGCCCCACAGAAGTGCCTCGGATCTAGGTGTGCGTGGCTGCCACGTGATAAATTTTGGAGTGATGATGGAAATGGGTCTAGGTTTAGGCTGAAAGAGACTCCCCCTTTTTACATATTTTTACTCTGTCTCAATGACATAGCCCTCAAGCATGTCCTGGTTTCCCTCCCACGCCTCCAGCTGACTAGTTCCCTTGCACCTGGACATTCAGCATCCTCACTGCGTGATCCTTCTTTCCTCCTTTTATGCTCTTTTCTCTCTGGGAAAACTCCTCCACACGCAGAGCTACCCTGTCACTGATGTGCCAGGGGCCCACGCATTCAATTGCCGTTCAGTTCTCTCCTTGAGTTCCCAAGCCAACTGCCTACTGGGTACCCAGAACGGATTTCATCGTCTTCCCCAAGTTGGTCCCATTTCCAAGGTTCCCAATTGCATGACTAGCTCCTCATCCAGCCCATGAGAACATCAAGGACTCAGGAACTATCTTACCGTCTGCTTCTCCATTACCTAACATACCACCAAGCCCTATAGGTTCGATCTCCTAAATCTCCATGGAAACTGTCCGTTTCTCTCCATCCCCACTACCCACTCCCCTCACCTGTAGTGGCCTCCTAAGGGATGACTCCAGAACAGTTATTATTCTCTCTCCAGAACATGCTCCACATTGCAGCCAAAGTGATATTTTTAACAGGAAGATTTTTTTTCATGTCATTTCTACTTAAAATCCTTTATAGGTTCCCCACAGCTCTTAGAATAAAGGCCAAAAGCTGATCACACTCAGGCCCCCTCCCCAGCCTCATTCCCGGCCACTCGCCCCCCGCCCCGTGCTCTCATCTCTAGCCCACCGGCCTTTCTCCCGTTCCTCCAACACTCCCAGGGCCTTTCCACAGGCTGCGCCCTCTTTCTTGAGCTCCCCTGTCTCTGCTCCCTGCACCAAAACCGTCTGCCTAGTTAACCGCTGCTTCTTCACATTCCGGCTCAAATGCCACCCACGCTAATTTGTGATGCCAGATATTCAATCAAATCCAAAATATTGTGTAACTATTTATTACCAACAATCAATACTTAGTTTCCGCCCACGTCCATGCCCAAGTCTAAGCAATATGAAGGCAAGGGCAACGACTCCTTTGCACACACCACTGTAAACCCAGCTCCACACAATGTCTTCTGCAGGGTAGGTTTTCAATAAATAATGAACAAGTGTTCAGTTCTCCTTAATAGTCTGACAAACTGAAGCTAACTCTCTACAACTCTTTCTCACTGCCACGCCTCTGCACCCGCTAGAATGAATGCCCTTACCTTAGTTTTTGTGACTGTCTGTCAAAATCTGATTCAAAATCCATGTCTCTCAAAAAACCGTCTATAAAGAACTTGGTCATTTTCTCAGCATCCATAAGCACTACTGTATCCAGTTCGCTCCAGGATAATGTGCATTTGTTGCTTGTAAATGTACTGCTTCCTCTTCACATAAAGTTCCCTAAGGGCAGGAGCCAAGCCGCCCAACTACAGCTGGTCTTTCCCCCACCCCCTGTATTATAGGCACTCAACCAACATTATCTATTGAGCTATCGTATTTGTGTCATTAGTTATCCAACTTAAACGTATTTTATTTTACAAATCCAAAATGTAAGTGAAAAGTAAGGCAATGTTCTCAGATAAGCAACTGGGATTCAAAATTCAGCTCCACTGCCTCCACGCTGTGTGACCCTGAGCAAGTCACTTCACCTCTCTGAGCCTAGGTTTTCTCTTCTGCAGATGTTTTGCCCAAGTCCATAGTTTTAGCATATCAAATAGCATGATGCTTGAGAACGTATTTTGCAAACTGTCAAAGCTACATGAGTATAAGATGTTTTGTTTGGGTTTTGATTTTTAATAGAGCAGCATTTTGACATTTCTATTCAGCAAGACAATCAAAACCTACTCGCCTCACTCCTAACTGGAGCCATTATCAAATTGCAGGATCAGCAACGTTCTTCGTTTAGAAACATCTCTGAGAGGGGCCGTGTTCCTACATCCGCACCCAGGTTACTTGGCCTTATCTGTGCCTGCACACCATGGCCACCAGAGCGCTCCCCCGCCTGCCCATGGCGGCCCGTGACCCTACAAACAATTCCCTCCTGGCTCAGAGAAACGGGCCCTCTCCCCTGGGTGAGAGAGAAAAGGCAGGAAGATAGAGAGACTGCAGTTTTTTCTCCCCAAAATGTTTCCCATTTTCACAAAAACTGCATTATCTTCAGACTTCAGGGGTGAGTGAAAGAAACAGAGGCTCTGTTATGTGGAAGAAAGACCCAGAATGATGATGAGATAAAATGCCTTTGTGGAGGGCTCCGAGAATTTGGGGGTGGGAGGAATTACTGGCCGAGCCAAATGAAGTAAAACAGGCCCAGACAATTTGGTGGAGAAAGGACACATTTACCTGTGTCTCTATGCCTCTCATGTGTAATATCGCTTCCCCTACTCTCCTGTTGTTGGGCCATTTCAAAAGTATTGCTTACTCACCTGTGGGAAAACTTTACTTTACTTGACCCTTAAAAATAGTAGGAATCCATTGGTCTTGTAGTTATGAGATGTATCTATAAGAAATAAATAAAATCCGCAGGGTTTTCGACCAGCACCTCCTCTTCAGACAGGACATCGGACTAGTCAGCTTGACCAAGTCATCTGGGTCACCTGACCATGGTGAGGACACAGGCAAGAGAAGCTCAGGGGTATGTGGGCCAGGAAGGCTGGTTTTCCACGGAATTTTGTGAATGATTGGGAATGCCAGAAGGGAGCAGAATTTTAATGTTTGTTGTTTAGTTTAGTGCAAGATGAACCAGCAACCTTTGCGCCACAACCAGTAGCAAACTAGCCGAGGCTAGCTGTCCATTTATTCTTCCTGGATCACCATTCCATGCTAAGCTGCAGCGATAACTTTGCTAGACCCTCTACTGCTCTCTAGACCAGGGCTGTGCAAAAGAACTTCCTACAAGGATGGGAACATTCTCTCTCCGCTGTCTAATATGGTGGCCCCTAGGCTTGTGTGGCTATTGAAATGTAGTTGGTGTGGTTAAAAAGCTGAATTTTTAATTTTATCACAAACCTTAATTAGTTTTAATTTAAATAGTCGCATATGGCTGGTAAGAAGCCTCCGTTACAACTTCCCGATAAACCCAGAAATGAAGATTTTCATACTGCGGCTCCCAATGATCCCAGAAGTACTTATCTGTGAAGTCCCCCACTTAGCCTAATGAGAAAAGGTGCTGTCATGCATATAAAATGAATTAGCCAAGAGGAAGCAGGACACTTCCAGAAGACTGAAGAAAATTAATATTGGGGAGCAGCTACTGAGCTCACCGGGCACACTGAGTTTAAGCGAGCTCTTTTCTCCAGAACCTAAGGTGATCAGAGCCCTGGAGGCCAAGTCCGCTTTCTTTGATGTAAACCTCATATCCCCACCTCCTCCGAGGGCACCGTGAAAGTGGTCCTCATCGCTTCCTGGAAAACCTTTCGGCACTTTTCAGGCCAGTTCTTCTGTCTGTCTCCTAAGCGAACTTTTGATCTCTCCACTTCTCTTCAAACCTCCAAACACCTCCTCTAAGCTGGTAGCTCACCTCCTGTTCCACAAAGGACAGGTGACTGGGGCGGAAGGCTGTGGCAGAGAGGACATGCAGTTTTGAAGTCCCTGTGGCTGAAGAAAGGGGGAGGAGTCCCTAAGTTTTTTAAAAAACAAAAGCAAACCGTGTGACCAAGGCCAGAGAGAATGGGGGAAAGGCTGGAGAGGCAGATCGGCTGGTGCACGTTGGATGAAGGCCGCCCGCCGCACGGGTGTTAGTGTCTATCCCAAAATAAACACTAAAGCCCCTGAAGGCTTTGGGGCCAGGTTTTAGGTCAGAAGAGGAACCACTGCATATAATCAACTTTTCAAACAAGTTGGCTGTGATAGGGAGGATACAGCTCCTTGGAGGGAAAGAAAGGGATTGATAAGAAATCCCCTTTCTGTGTTTCTACGCTAAGGAAATGGTCAGGAATATGGACAAGATTTATGCACAAAACTAGTTACTGCAGAGGCACTGATACAGATAAAAACCTGACTAAAAGTGAATGGCTCAGCATCAGAGAAATGGCTAAAATTTATGCTATTATACATTACATAGTGAAATACTATAGAACCATTAAAAATACATTTGTGAAATGTTTTTAATTGCATGGGAGAAATGGTTTGGAAAGAGGGCCCAAAATAAACTTATGGAAAAATATGCATAGACATAGACTAGAAGTAAATGTGCCCCAAATATTAACAGCAGTAGTCTGACCATTGACTTCTATGAGTTTTTTTCCTATTTTTCTTTAATTTCCAAGTTTGATATAGGTATTTATACTTGTATGATCACACAACTTATTTCAAGAAAAATAAACCCAAGGGACATTACTGATTTTGGAATTTTATTTTTAAAGAAAAGTTTGGTTCTACTTCTTTGTCCTGACACATCTAAAATTTCAAAACTGACAAGTTCTTATTGGAGTAATATTTAAGATGAAATTTTTTATTCATCATTATTATAGTTATTCTCTGACACTTTACTTTTTTTCTTTTTTACGGTCCGCCCAATTCGGGGAGTCACTGAAGGAGGATGCAGATTTTCAGAACTATTATTCCCACAAATAGCGGACCAGACTCCTACAACTGGCTCCTTCGCAGGAAGAGAAGAACGTGGCCAGCAGGCAGCCACATCCCTGCTGAGCCTCAGGTGAAATCCCTCTGAAAGTGATTCAAGGAAACTCAATTTTGTTCCTATTATTTATCAAAATACTGGTTAACATACCAAGTACTCAAAGTAAAAAATATATATGACAAGTTAACTCATCTATACACTGTCTGAAACATGCGTTTTGAATTTTTTATTTACAGGATTTTTATAAACTGTTAAGCTATGCATGCATGGCTCAAGAAACACTTGAAGATTTTTCTCCTTGCCCCTTCAAGAGCCTTCTGCAGCCTTATGAGATGCATATTTTCCTCCACAAAGAAAAATAAACTAAAATTCAATTAGCTCCCAATCACACATGCTAATGTAGAAAAAAAAATATTACATAAATTATTTTCATCATTTATATTTGGCTTCAAGACATAGAGCATAACCATTTGAGAATGGATTTTTGGTTGTAACTGACTCTACTGAAGCCAGCATTAAAACCAAGGGACAGAGCTTACCCAGAAATAAAGCCATGACTGATAGCTTTTTTAAAAAATTGTTTGTTCTGAGGAGCAATTCTGAAGCCATTTGCTGAGCCTGGGGACCCAGATGTTGGGGTGGGCGTTACACTCTAAGCCTGAAGCTGACCCCAGGTGTACTGAAAGTAGTGCTTTCCAAACTGTATGTTGTGGCCTTTTCCTGGGTTATAAAATCAACTGAGTGGATAAGATTGCGATTTAGTGAGTAAGATCAGCACTTTTTTAAAAAAGAAGCACTTTTTAGAAAAAAATTATATGCACTTCACATAGTGAGGGTAAGTGCTGGTCCAAGAAACTTTAAGTTCAGGTATACACACAAGTATCTGTATATACTAGGTTGACATACAACTTTTCTCTCTCACCATGGGTTTCAAGCAAAATTCTTTAAAAGCAACAGGCCTATTCTACTGAATAAGGCTTCTTTGTGCTAAATACCCATTAGGATTCTTGCCAGGTTAGCAATAAACTAACAGTTCCAATTCATGAAACACCCCCGCTTAACTCCCCTAGATGGTTAAACTGACAGCCGTTTCCCACGAAGTTTTTAAGAATATTTTAAAGTACATTTATCTATACTTTACACTAAGTGAAATAAGCCAGTCACAAAAACACAAACACTGTATAATTTCACTTATGAGGTTCCTAGAGTAGTCAGATTCATAGAGACAGAAAGTAGAACGGTGACCGCCAGGGCGGGGGAGGGACATAGGGGAATGGGAGAGATGTTGAATGGATACAGAATTTCAGTTTTGCAAGATGAAAAAGTTCTGGAGATTTGTTGCACAACAATGTGAAAATGCTTAACGCGACTTAACTGCACACTTTAAAATGTTTAAGATGGTAAATTTTACATTTACATGTATTTTACCACAATTTTTAAAATTTTATTAATTAAATAGCCACAAGTAGCTAGAGGTTACAGGACTATTCGGTGCAGTTTAACTACTGTGCTATCAGCGTGGTAAAGTAATTTCAAGCTCGATTTCTAACCATTCTTATCCCCTTTATCAAACTCCTCATAGGACTCAGAACCTGCTCTCAGGAACAAGACATTAGACTCCAGATTCCCTGGAGTTCACAGCACAGGCACTGCATCTGCCAACTGACTAGTGACAGGAGGCTGGGCGCAGGCTAGGGGGCTGGAGCGCTGCACCCCTGTAACTAGGAGACATCTTACGGAATGTCTAGATGAGGAGGGAGGAAGCCGCCTGGGAGAAAAGGTCTTTGTCCTCAAGTTCAGCGAGCAGTCATTGAGGGGTGCAATTGAGGGGTGGGAATGCTCTGAGCCGGTAGGGGCTTCCCTGCCTTTTATCTCCTTGAGGCTATGGAGTCCCGCATCAGTCACCTTTTCCGGTTATAAGAAAGCCTTAAGTTTCCTGAGAGGGAGAGATGACTGTCTTGATCGGCTTTAGGCTTATGAACTGTCTTGCAAAAAAATGTTGACAAAGTGCCTTTTACTGGCACGAGAAAATGGAACCCACGTGGGCGGCTAGGCTTCCTTCTTCCCCCAGCTCCCAGCGTTACTGGGCGGACTGCCTCAAGTGGAAATCCAGTTCTGGGAATTACCAGCTTCCAGGAAAAGCAAAGAAGAAATTATTGCATTATTTTGTTTATTGATCAATTCATTTTCAAAAGTATTGATATTCCTGCTGGGTTGAAAACAGGACAAATGATGCTCATTTATAAATTGATTTTTATCTTGTATACCTGCTATTGGATAGTAAGAAATAAATAAGGTGTGTGGGGAAGGAATTATCTAACTAAAAATTGGGTTGTAAACACCAGCTGATGAAAGGCACATAAGTTTGCTTGGACTCGTCAAGCTCTGGGTGAAAAAAAGACTCTATCAAGTATTTTCATTGAAGGCTCAAGAGAGCAGAGCATAAAGCCTGAGGAATCTGTTAGATGGTGGTAGAGGCCCCTGAATTCCGGCTTCTAGCAGCCAATGCCTTGAATTAGGAACTATCTAACGAAAGAAAGACTGTGTAAGCGGGCTTTGGAGCCGGCCTGGGTTTGAATGTCAGCCCCATGTCACCTTTCTATAAGGGGATAATGACAGGGTGGTGGTGAGGTTTAAAGGAGCAGAAACTTGCAAGTGCTTATCAAGTGCTCAGAACGCCCTCGGAGACCCAGTGAGTGCTGGGGTGTCACAAGGGTAAGAGACGGTACGGACGAAGGCCGTTCCTGTGTCAAGGTCTGATCTGCTCTGACTTTAGAAATGTGGCTTTTCCTGGCAGTGTCAAAATGTTCTTTCTTTCGTCTTTTGAAGATTTTCTTCACCGCCACTTGATGTCTTTTAAGAGCTGCTAAACGCTCCTTTTCTCTAATTTCAAGAGCAACACCCACCTCTGACGGTTCACACCCGCGGGCCTTGGTGCCAACCATGGGCAGACCCTCTTCCGGGCAGCAGGGGATGGGACGGGGTGGCAGGCTGCACCTTTGTTTGGTATGGCCCAGAGTGTTGACACAGATAGTGGGGTTTTTTTGTTTTTTTAATCTGAATATAGCAGCTAACATTTTAAAATCTAGTTTCTAGGAAATTCGGGAGAGTTTCTGCCGAATTTCTGGCTCCTCCTGAAAACTGAAAATGTCTGGCACCACGGGGTCCACGTTCCCGCAGGACGGAGACTGAAGCAGGGTAGGGGCCCCTCCCACAGTCTTCTCCACCACCTGACAATGGCCAGTGGAAGGAAGTGCCACCTCTTATCACCCTTGGGGTATTGCTTTTTTTCCCCTTTTTTCAATGTCAGGTCAATTGCACTCATGTACAATGCCTACTTGGTCCCATGTGCACAGGGACAAGAGAATGACACACTTTAGAGACAAACAGACCTTTGTTTATATCCCGACTCCAACCATCGACTGTGAGAAGGAGGCAGGTTATGAACTGTCTCTGAGCCAGAGCTTCTGCATGTGAAAATGGGTCGGATTCCCCAGTCAGAGTGTAGCACTCGTGTTTATCTATGAAAAGCATCTAGTCGTATGGCTGTATACAGCAGGCACGGATAAATGCTCACTCTCCTCCCTGCTACTTACTCACTGGCGATGGGTTTGCCAGTTTTGCACCCGTCCCTACTGCTCCTTGGCCCTCTCACCAACGGTTGGCACCCAGCACATGAGACACACTCACGATCCAAAGTGTAGCTAAAATGTGCTTCAAAAATCAAAGGAAGCCCCTAGATCTAGCCATCAGTTTTCAGAGACTACAAAGGAGGCCATGGGGATGCAATCAGCGGAGTCCACACCATAAGAGACTCTCTAGCACAACTCTGATTTCTTCAACAACTACATCAAAACCTGCAAAGAAAAAAACAAATTAAGAGACAGAGTTACTTAAGAGATACATCAACCAACTGCAAGGAATGGAAGTTCCTTGGATGCTGATTTTTTTTAAACTGTACGAAAGTTTTATAAGATAATTGGGGAAATGTGAACGCTAGTTGGCTGTTTGATGGTATTATGGAATTATTCACTGCTGAGTTATAATAATGCTGTGGTTGTGTCAGGAAAAAAAGCCCATATTTTTTAGATACTAAAATATTTCCATGGAAATGATAAAGTGAAAGTAATGCAGGGTAAGGAAGGGTGGAAGCTCAGAAGAGACAAGACTGGCTGTGTAGTAGTAATGGCTGAAGCTAGGCGACAAGTATGTAGTGGTTTACTGTGCTCTTCTCTCTGCTTTGCTGTACGGTTGAAATTTTCTATACTCAGTAACTTTTAAAAAGTAAAGCCCATGATAAGCCATTTAAAGCTCTTTTAAGGTTAGAAAAAGCACTGGAGTTACCTAACACAAAGCATGTTTTCTTGGAGCTACTACTTGTGAGTACCTTATTTGGGTCTCAGATGCCCCTTTGGAGAAGGATTCTTGGGCCAGGGGATGGGGAGGAACTTCAGTTCCACTTGTACTGTTAGCGCCCTGGGGGAAGAGGTGAGCGCCGGGTCCAGTGAACCCCCTTGTGGCACTCGGGGGCCTCAAAGGCCAGCCACATTCTGCAGTCTTGCCTCTCAATTTTATTTTCAAGAGAACGATTTTTTCTTGCAATGCCCTCTGCCATCACGATGAAGGTGGGTGAACCCCATCCCTGGTTAACTTGAGAGGGCAGAGTCTCCTTGTCCCCGGTGTGACCAGCAGGGGTGTAGGAGCCTGTGTTCTTCTCGGCCTCCAGCTTTAAAACTGGGAAATCAGACATGTTCATCAGAAGGTTTGGATTGTTTGTTGTGATTTAAATGTTTTGCTTTGTTCACTACTTTAAGGATATAAAGTCTTACTGAACTTTTTAAAAAATGCCTCTTTAAAAACAAAATGTGCACTTGCTTCAGCAGTTGCATTTACTGAAAATGGAATGATACAGAAATTATCAGCATGGCCCTGCACAAGGATGACATGAAAATTTGTAAAGTGTTCCATATTTTTACAAAGGATTGCAAGAAGTTACTGTGAACAACCATATATCAAGATATTGTACAACCTGGGTGAAATGGATAAATTTCTAGAAACATACAATCTTCCAAAACTGAAGCAGTAAGAAGCAGAAAACCTGAATAGACTAATAACAACGAGCAAAATTGAAGCAGTAGTCAAAAAACCACTGACACACAAAAGCCCCCGACCAGATGGATTCACAGGCAAATTTTACCAAGCATTCAAAGAACTAACACTTACCCTTCTCAAACTATTCCAAAAAATTCAAAAAAAGGGAAGACTCTCAAACTCTTTTTGCAAAGCCAGTATTATCTTAATCCCAAAACCAGGTAAAGACACAAAAAAGAAAGAAAATTACAGGCCGATATCTCTGATGAACATAGAAGCCAAAATCCTCATATCCAAAATACTAGCAGACCAGATCCAACAATACACTAAAAAGATCATACACTGTGATCAAGCAGGATTTATTCCAGGGATGCAAGGATGATAAAATATTTGCAAATCAATAAATGTGATACCTCACATAAACAATGAAAGACAAAAAACACATGATCATATCAATAGATGCAGAAAGAGCATTTGATAAAGTTCAGCACCTATTTATGATAAAAACACTCAGCAAAGTGGGAAGAGAAAGAGCAGACCACAAAATAATAAAGGCCATATATGAAAAACCTACTGCCAACATCTTACTTAATGGACAAAAACTAGAAGCATTTCCCTTAAGATCAGGAATGAGACAAAGATGTCCACTTTCACTTCTCTTATAAGGACTTGAATAGACACTTCTCTAAAGAGGACAGACAGATGGCCCATAGACATATGGAAAGATGCTTAATATCACTAGCCATTAGAGAGATGCAAATTAAAACCACAATGAGATACCACCTCATACCTGTCAGAATAGCTATGATTAATAAATCAACAAACAACAAGTGCTGGCGAAAATGTTAAAAAAAAGGAACCCTAGTGCATGCGATGTTGGTGGGAATGCAGACAATGCAGCCTCTGTGGAAAACAGTATGGAATTTCCTCAAAAAGTTAAAAATGAAACTGCCTTATGACCCAGTGAATCCACTGCTAGGAATATACCTTAAGAAACTGGAAACACCAATTCAAAAGAACTTACGCGCCCTGATGTTCAAGCCGCACTAGTAACAACAGCCAAGTGTTGGGAAGAGCCTAAGTGCCCATCTTGGATGGATTAAAAACCGGTGGTACATTCACACAACAGAATACCACACAGCAGGAAGGGAGGAAGGGAGGAAGGGAGGAAGGGAGGAAGGAAGGACTCCTACTCTTTGTGACAGCATGGATGGAGCTGGAGAGTATCATGCTAAGTGAAATAAGCCAGGCTGTGAAAGACAAATATCATATGATCTCACTTATAAGAGGAATCTAATAAAAAAAATAAACTAAGGAGCAAAACAGAGCCAGAGACATGGAAACAGGGAACAGACTGACAGTTGCCAGAGGAAACGGGGACGAGGAGAATAGTGGAAGGAAAGGGGAGGGGATTAGTCGAAGAACATGTATGGATGACCCATGGACATGGGCAACGGTGTGGGGATGGACTGTGGGAGCGGGGCAAGGGGTGGCCTGGGCAGAGGAGGGCAAAGGGGGGGAAATTGGGACCACTGTAATAGAATAACCGAGAATGAATGAATGAATGAATGAATAACAGTGTCCTTCATTTAACATAGATGCAAGGTAAATCTTTTGTCTCCCTTAGATAGAAAGAATTGGAACCAGAAAAGGAGAAGAGTTAAATATCATTTTAAGTAGCCAAGTATTTCTAAATCAGTAAGACTACTCAGAAACATCCGTTGGATGCTGACTGAAATGATCACAAACTGATTTGTTGTTTTGTTCCCAAAATACTGCAATCTCAGTGATTAGCAAGAGGAAATGAAAAGAGTATCTATTTAAAAACTGTAAAACCAAAATTCCAGCTAATTAACCTTATGCAACTTTACCATAATAAACCACTGCCGGAGCATTTCCCTCCCTCCTCCCAAAGTATCATAAGAATCAAAAATCAAAACAAATGTATGATACGTAGTTGTCTGTTTATGCACATCGTGGAGAGCTGGGAAATATATAAATTCCCAACTGGGAATTTCTACTGGGTTGTAGAATCACAATGTCTTGACCTCTATATATCTAGGCATTTTCAAATTTCCCACATGAAAACATAGAATTTATAATACAAATTTTTTTTAAAAAGGAAGAGTTATAACTGCAAGAATTTATTATCCCAATTTATTGCAGTTAATAATTATGGCCTTGCAGTAAGGCAAGGACTCAGGGGTTGGGAGAACCCCAAATCTTAGCCCTGGCAAATAAACTTGTTTTACCTCTCAGACATGCAATTCTGCCTCATTGCCAGATATGGTCATAATGAGAAATATGAATAAAGTAAAAGTCTAACTTACTGATTCATGTGACAGACTATTAACTAAGGAAATGTAGAGTTTTCTATGCTCAAATGGACTTTTGTATTTCAAAATCTACATTTACTCATAGGATAAATTAAGGGGTAACTGATTACATTATAAAGCTATTCTTCAAATCACTCCAGAATATATCTATAATGCAAAACATTCTAATATGAGTTTCTCAACATTTAAATATCAAAAAATTTTCATGGACACTCCCACATAGCAGTCATTGTAGTTGGTTGGAAAAAATATGTAATGGATACATGTTATGAATTTAGTAATACTTGTAATGAATGTTCATGTATTAAATAGCAATGATCTTCATACACTTGAAAAATAGTAATATATATATATATATATGGCTTATTATTTAGTCTGCGTACATTGAACATTGGGACACACATGGGTTCAAAGGACAGCTATGAAAACTCCACCACACCCAGTGAGCTTTCCATCGCTCTGGTGCATTTAAGATATTACACCATTTAAAAGAAAACTCAGGCTGCATGTTTATCTCTTTTGCAAGAACTCTTTTACAGATTTTCAAGTGAGGGAAACTATTCAACTATATAATTAGCTACATACAACTATGCAACTATATATATAGCTATGTATAACTATTCAACTACATATAAGGCTATAAAAAACTATTTAATTATATATACAGCTTTATAAAGCTATTCAAACATACATACAGCTATATACAACAATTCAACTATATATATAGCTACGTGCAACAATTCAACTACGTACACAGCTATATAAAACTATTCAACTATATATACAGCACTTCAACTATATATAGTTATATATAACTATTCACCTATATACACAACTATTCAAATATATGCATATATAAATATATATACACAACCGTTTAAAAAAATAAGTGAGAGGAAGAGAAGAGATGAGCTGAATGGCTATTTCTCATGATTACAACAATTTTTTTTTTAATGCAGGAAGGAGCAGATAGATAGCATAAGCAGGATCCCTTTTTTACTCAAATTGGCCAAAATTAGAAAAATATAGTAAGATCAAGTTCATTGTAAGGAAGCTGTTTTCCAATACATGGCAGGTTGGAAGACAGTTTTTCATCCTTCATAGTAAAAGAAAGAAAGAGTAAAAATGCTTTGCATCACATTAATGAAATACGAATTTCAGGTGCAGTTCCTCTCACTAAATTCTGCATCTGTAAAACAGGGTCATGCCGTCGACCATGTACCGTTATGGGGATTAAATGAGATAATAGTGCAGGGTATCAAAATAGGGAAACATTCAAACAAGGTTTGCTCCTTTAACTTGTTCTTAAAGATCAGGGTCCAGGACATACGATGAAAATGGAGATAAGGCAAGAAAACTCCATGAAACAGCAGGTATGTTGTGACCTGCCCAAAGCGTTCTCTGTGGGATAGATCTGGGGGCTACCGAGCCAGCTGTGTCTAGGGTCCTTCTGTCCTCGTTTTTGACATTGCTGCCATTGTGTCCCCTAATTTGGCAGGGATGCTTTGAATTATGACCTTCCTCTTCCCACCATCTGTTTTCCCTCCCATCTAAATAACGCATTGTCTGTTCTCAGCTTTTCCCATTAATGTGACTTGATATGTACCTGTTAACTCTATAAACTGGAATTTTAAAATACCTTCCCATTCTTAAAATGGTGGCATACCCTCTGTTCCTGTAAAAAAAAAACCAATTAGCTAAACATTCATTTCCTACAAAAGAAAGAACTATTAAGATTTAAATCTTGCCAGTAACCAGAGGATTACTTTATATCTAGCAAAATGGACTTAAAAGCTATTTTATAAATGTCTATTTATGCCTCAGCCATTCATTGTGTTTTACCATTAGGAAACATATCCCATTTTATTATCTAAAGGAACATTTGTACATATATATGCATATATTAGTATGTACATATATATGTGTGTACATACACATTTTAAATCCCTATAGCAAGCTCATATTATTGGATTTTTACTTTTATTTATTTTTTTAATCCTCACCCAAGGATATGTTTCTTCATCTTAGAGATAAAGGAAGGGGGAGAGAGGGACAAACATCAATGGGAGAGCAAGACTGATTGGTTTCCTCCTGTATGTGCCCAGATTGGGAATTGAACCCACAACCCAGGTATATGCCCTGACCAGGGATCAAACCTGCAACCCTTTTATATAAGGAACGACACACCAACCAACTGAGCCACCTGGCCTGGGCTGGACTTTTAATTATTTTTAAAAATCTGAATACTTCAGTGCTTAAGAAGGACGTTTTAAGACATCTCATTTAATTCTTTCAGGTCAGCGGGGCACTGCTAAGAGCAATTTTAAAATACACAAAGGTTTTACTTTGAGAGAAGCAAAAAATATTCAAAAGGGCACATCATTTTAATTAGCATTTTTTTAAAAGCCTGATGAATTACACCAGCATGTATTTTGGGCCCCTAAACACCTACAAGCACTTTGTTCAACCCATGGAGAAACAGAGCTAAAACCATGTTTTCAAGGTCTTTGTCGCCTAGAACGAGAGGCACTCATGTTCACAACCACAGCAGTAACTCAACTTAAAAACAGTGATCAGGAATGCTTACGGGAGCTCTAAGGGGCAAGGGGCTCACCCTAGGGGACAGTTAGGTTAAAGGACTAACCTCTAAGAACAGAAGAGGAAGGAGCTCAGATGGGACTCCGGCTGGGAAGCCCCAGCTCCCTCGCTTCCGGTCCCCCTGAGCGCTCATTCCGATGGTCTCCCTCAATCCATCCCATCTCCCTCCAGTTTCTGTTCAGCTTCTCTCCTGCCACATCCACTCCACGGTCAGAATCGAACGCCTCCACCAACCTCCGCTTTCTGTGAATGACCTGGACCACCAGAAATATGATGAGAGATAGATGCGAAACACACCCGGAACTTTGTGTTTTCTAGTAGCCACATTTAAATAAGGGAAACTGGTGGAACTGTTTTCGATAATATAGTTTATTTAAACCCAAGATGGCTAAACTAGTACTTTAATGTAGAATCAATATAAAATTCCTGGGAAGGCAGAGACAAATGTATTTAAAAAGTAAATAAATTAATTTAAAAAAATAAATAAATAAAATTCCTGAGATATTTTAAAGTCTTTTAAATATAATTTTTCAATATCTGACGTGTGTTTTCAACTCACAGCACATCTCACTTCAGACTAGCTGCGTTTCAAGGGCTCGCAGCCACGTGCGGCTTGTGGCTCGTGAACGGGACACTGTAGACCGAGGTTCTCTCTGCAGCAAAGACGGTCCCAAACCTTCATAATGGCTGATTACTGCTGGATGAAGGGATCATGGGTGACTTTTAAAAAATAACTTCGGTTTACCTGTATTTTTTATTGTTCTCCAACAAACACAAATGGCATGTGTTTATGTATTTTAAAAACTTGTGCTTTTAAATAGCTTTGGCATCTCAGGGGAATTTAAATGAATGAATCTCTCATTCATTCCCTGGTGCTTTTTTTTTTTTTTATGGTTCGCGTGGTATCCGCATCTGTCGTCACTTCCACATACCGAGCCAGACCTAGCTTCTAACTCCTTCGCCATTGCAAATTATCCCCCTTCCACCTGCAGCCAGCCCACTCTCCTTCTGAAGATCGCTCGGTGGGAGGCACAGCAAGCCCAGGAGAAATATTTCCCACATCCTCCCCACCTCTGCACATACTCACCCATGCACAATTTCTGGTTTTGCTTTAGTAGATCTGGAGTCACTGGTATGATGGGGACAATTCAAATTCAAATCAGAAAAGGCCTCTGTCTTCAGAGCTGCTTTAAAGTACTTTAAAGGAGGCTTGTGATTTACTTGTACTTGAAATTAGATACTATGTTCAAAAACTATTAAATGCTTTCTTTCTTTCTTTCCCTCTTTTTTATGGCCTACTGGGTTTCCACAAGCATCAGCAACTAATGTTTAGTCAGAGAATGTGCTTCTCACCTCAAAGGTTAGGACTAAAATAATGTTTTCGGAGTTTAAATATAGAAGCAGTTTAGTCACTGCAAAAATGTGAACAAGATGCACAGGCAGCTTAAGTTAAATCGGCTGAATTAGGAAACCTACAGACTTTTAAAATTCATGGTACAGTTTGGTTCCGGGCTGCTCTGCTTGCCACCTTCCTAATGATGGGTTCGCCCCTTTCCCCGGGCGTTTAACGGCGGCGCGTGGAGCCCTGCCCTGGGGGAGTTTCAGGACCTGGGCTTCAGTCCTCGCTGCCATTTCCCCACCAGGTACGTGACCTTGGGTTCTGGCCGTGCCCTGTGCTGGTTGGAGCTTCCCGGGCTGAAAAAGAGGGGTTGGCAACACAGGCCCGGGCTGTGTTCCCGAGCTGCTTCTGGAGTCACGGTCCTGACCTTTGTGCTGTCTCCCTCCATCCTATTATCCCCCAAACAAATGCCTCCTCCTGCATCGCCTCCTCCTAAGTGAGAAGATGGCTGGCAGTACAGCAGGGACACGGGAAAGAACGGCTGTTTAAAAAAGAGAGAGAAATCCTAAAATAAGTCCCCTTTCAAGAATTCCCCATCCTCTGGTGCCTCAGCACCTGCTCACCGCGTTAAACCAGTTCCTGCAACAAAACTTGCTCTAAGAACCAGGCATTTGTTATGGGTACGGTTCTTGGATGATGTTGACATTGCAGACCCAGCTCTCTTAAAAATCGGTTGTGGGTACAACACAACCCTGAAGTTAGGCACCCAACAGACGTCAGCAGCCACATAAATCAACATTAGTGGAACCTGGAGACAATCAGATCAGAATCCCAGAGAGTTGTTATTAGGTCTTTGCACTAGCTGTTGATTAAGTTAGGGAAAATAAATGATAGGTCCCCAAACTTCCCACCTAACCTCCTCAGGACCCTACAGTACCCTACAATCTAGCCTGCTGCAAAAATCACTCCCTTCTCCTCAGGGCTGGCTGCAGCGACTCCCAGGAGAGCCTTCCTTGCACGGATTCCCTTGGCCGAGGCCTCCGCCGGGGGCGGCTCATGTTAGCTGTGGTCTGGGCCGTTTCCGCCTGGCCTGATTTTTCATGCTGCCATTTTGAATTAACATAGGTTTTCTCTGCCACTGATGCATCAGCTGGTCAGGTTTGGAGCACAGTAGACACACACGCTACCGGGAAGCTCGCCGCAACCTAATTCAAGACACTTGCAAGCCAGAATTAAACGGCAAATCCAGAAAGCCCGTGTTATTTAACGGAACCCTGACTGGGTTTTGAGTCACAGCAAATGACAGCTCCCTTAGATGCACTTGGGTTTAGGGGACATTTTTAACCCTTACCGTCAATTGTCTAAAGTTCAAGGGTTCCTGCTGCTTTGCAGACCACACTCATCTCAGCGTTGTCGCCAGATAATCGACGCCCGGACAGACAGGAGAACCGAGGACGCAAAGGCAAACTGAAGTGGCTAATCATCCAGAAATGCCTTCATCCCTTTTACCAATAAGTGCCCGCCCCCCACCCCCCGGCAGCATCGCGTTCATCTGCCCCGACATCCCTTCCCCACCAAGAACCGCCCCGGGTGTGGCTTGAGGACAAGTTGTATGAAGTCCCGGCCAGCGTGGCGGAGAGCAACAGCCCGCGCGCTTGCCCCTAAGGGAAGGGCTGTCCCCGCTGCACGATCCGGGATCGCGCCCTGCGTGGACGTGGGGACAGAGACGAGCCCCCGGCCTCGGCCCCGCCAGGCAGCCATGTTCGCGCGAGCCCACCCGCGCGGCAGGTGCGTTACCTCCCGGGAAGGTGCCTGGCCCGCTCCCGCGCCCCAGCGATGCCCGAACCCCGGCAGCGATCCAAGGGGTCGGGGGCGCACAGGCATCCCCCGCCCAGTGGGGCAGTAACTTCGATATCAAGAATAGGAAACAAGGGAGAAGCAGGCTGGAGAGTTTTCGGAGAGTTAAAGGGCTATAAGGACAAGGATGGGTTTGGGGTGTGGACCGTTGGGGACAGGTTCCGACCGGCCTGCAGGGCTCGCGCCGAGGGCGGGGCGTCCCTCGCTTGCGCCCCCGCAACCCGCAGACCCCAGTCACTCCCAACCCCAGTTCGAGGCCACCCATCCCCTGTTCCCCCGCAGCCCCCAGCCCCCAGCCCGTCCCAGCCAGTCCCCGCCGGGATTGAGCCCCGGGGAGCGCTACCCGCGGGTTCCGAGGGACAGCAGGAGGCGACGAGGCGCAGCAGACGGCGATGGCGGCGGGGAGTGCAGTCTGCGGGGAGAAGCGGTTCCAGACGCCCTGCGCTCCCGGTCCTGCCCGCCGAGGCTCACCTGCGCGGCGGCGGGCTCCGGGCGCGGCTCTGCGGTGCTGATGCTGCGGCCGCCGAGGGTGCGGGTGCCGCCGCGGGCGCGACTACTGCGGCGACATCCGGGGCTGCAGCGGCAGGGGCGGAGGCGGCCGTCGGGCGCTTCCCCCTCCTCAGACTCCCGGCGCTCGGGCCCGCCGCCCCCGCGCACAGTTGGCCCGGCTCACGTGACCGCGGGGTCCACCCCGCCTCCCCCCACCCGGGACCGGGGGGCCGCGCAGCACCAGCCGCGTCCGGGCCACCCGGCTGCAGCGCCGCGCTCGGCTCGGTAGGGCAGAGCGCCTGGCGGCGGGAGGAGCGGACGACAGGGCGGATCTCGCGGCCAAAGGTGGCTCTTTGCTCGAATTTTGTTTCTTGATCACCGCCGGGATGGCAGCTAAAGGGAGAACCAAGGCTTTAAGAAATCAGGCCCCGCTTCCTCCGGGCGCTTCCCCAGGACTCCGCCCTTCGGTTGCTACGTGGGGCCTTGGTGCCTAAGCAAGATTTCCCCGCGGAGGAACGTGTCCTGTACTTTGTTGACTCACATGTCCAAGCCAATTCCCTGGTTTTCAAGATGCCATCCTGTGCGACGTTGATATGCCCGACCCTATGCCCAGTACTTGGGCAGTGGGCTCCGAAGAGGTTAAGGAACTCTCCACTCCCCCAAGGTCACCCAGCAATGGCAAAGCCCAGATTCTATACCTGGGATAATGACACGGACAGGTGACAAAGGTGTGTGTGCTGCTGGTGTCAAGGTCATTAGTCTGGACATGACCATCTCTCCATTAACAAAGACAGACTCTTCCTTTTATGAATCAATAAAAAAAAACTATCCTGTACAGAAAAAGTTCACAGGAAAACAAATGCAATACCACTCAGGCACATGAAAAGTTATTAAAGCTCACTTACCTGCTAATCCACTATACAAGGTAGCACTTTCTACCTGTCAGATTAGCAAAAATCAAAAAGTGTTATAACCCCCGTGGAGGACAATTTGGCCACATCTCCCCAAATAACAAATACATATAGAGTCTTTGGAGGATTCCACTTCTGGAACTTATCCTACAGATATGACACAGGTGTGAAATGACAGGAGTACGAGGTTATCCATTGCTATATTATTTGTGCTAGCAAAGGTTGGAAGCGAGCTTCCATCAGTCAGGGACTATTGAAATAAATTACAGCACAATACAATGGAATGCTATCCAGCGACTTAAAAAATGAGGACGATCACTATGGACTGATACGAGAGATTCCCAACCTATACTAAGCAGGAGAGGGAAGCCATGTGCAAAACATCATGTGTGTCATCATTCGTGGGAAGAAAAAAATATGTCTGTGCTCATGTGCAAATGCACAGAATATCTTGGGAGGGATATGTTAGAAACTGTAATAGTAGAGGCCACCAGGGAGAACCGGGTGGCTTGACGGAGGGAAGGAAAGGAGACTTTTTTGCCTGTCTTTTGAATGTTATGCTAATGCTTGTGGTTTGCCACACGAGCAAATGGATAGTAGGAGGGGGCTGAGGGAATCAGGGCAGATCATACTATAGAACAGAGCCTTGGCACTCATACTCTCGGAGCACAAAGGGACCTTATTGTGCATTTCATCCAAACGAGGGAACTGTAGCCAGTGAGTTTAAATAATGTTAAAGATTCCTAGATGACTTGTTCCTGGGCCCGGCCCAGGTCTACTGAATTCAGAGTCTCTGAGGCTGGGGCCAGGAAACCTACACTTTGTCATGCTACTCACTAATTCTCTTGCACATTGAAGTCTGAGAGCCAGACCTAGTTTAAGGGCACTCCGCAAGTCATCACCACTAGAAAACAAATCCAGTTCTATGCCTTCCTGTAGCCATGATGTGTCGCTTTTCCTGTAAAGGATGACATCTGCACACCATGCTCCTCTTTTGGTGGCGGCGTGGAGCACAGATAGGGGGCCTGCCAGGCTACCTAGTGGGCCTGAAATCTTTGAAGCCTATTGACATGTCTCCACACAACCCCAGGGCTTCAGGGCCAGGAGCCCGGGGACACCTGAAGAGAAACGTCTGCTTTCCCCAAGGTGGGCACGAACAAGCTTGTTATATTTTTAGCAACATTTATTAAACAGCAGGAACACACTTCGTCTCTGCTTTGCATGCGGGAGACAGACCCTACTGCTATTGAAGCCTCAGAAATAGAGATAAGCGAAAGAACAGCCAAACAAATATGGAGAACATCAAAAAATATCAATAAGGATTTTAATCATTGGCCTCTATCAATCATGTAGGGTGTAGGTGCGAATTAATTATAAGATTTCTGTGAGCTACTATGCAAAGGGGAAAAAAAATCGCCTAAAATAGCCTGCAGTTATTACACAGTCTTTTATACTCCATCTAGCCATGTTCAGAGATTTAAGAGCTAATAAATAAAAGCATACCAGATTTTCTTTTTTTTCCACAGAGGGAGGCAAAGATTTTTCTTTTTCCAGAAAGAAAGGGGGTGGAGAATAGGGGGGTGGTAATTTCAGCTTTTATGCATTGTCATGCAGAGAGACTCATAAAATCTCCCTCTAGTCACCTGTATCAGGGGAAAAGCACTATGGAAACATTTCTGGATTTATTTACAAGCACTAATATGAAAATAAATTTAATGAGGAAACCATAAAGTATTAGATCCTGACAGGTCTAAAAAAATGTCAGAACTGTATTTCTTCATATATACCCCCAGTTTGGATTACATTAAGTACTTCTATAAATTTCTAGTTTATTCTGAACATGAGTACAGTCAACCTGGACTGGAGGAACGGGAGACAATTAAAACCAATAGAAACTGACCATGACAATGGAGGACCAATTTGGCTTAAGCCTCCATTGTAGGCTGACTTCTCTGGAAGCAGAAATTGTGATGGTACTTTGAGTATAAGGGCTTTATAGCAATCAACACACATGGAAAAAAGGGACTAGAAACTGGGTTGAACGGAGGAAGGAGTTGAACTGCAATGAAAACCCAACAAATTCTTAGCCAATATGATAGAGAGATCTAGAGCAAATATTGCCCATCCAAATGTCCTGCATAGAGTCAGGTCCTCAGACGCCACCTTGCTCAGTTGACAGAAGGGGGCTGCCCTGGGAATGGCATGACTTCTACATCGGTAGGGCTCAGCAGGTGAGGCAGAAGGAGCTGACCACCCGTCTAGAAGATACACTCAGTGTCTACCACAGTAATTAATATCGATGTTTGCAGTTCGGAGTAAAGCTGCTACCAATATCCATCTGCAAGTCTTTGTGTGAATGTAAGTTTTCATTGTTTTTAGAGAATACCTAAGAGTGGAATTGGTGAGTCATTTGACAAGTATATATTTCAATTCATTAAAAGCTGCCAAACTGTGCTCCAAAGTGGTTTTACATTCCGCAATATATGAGAGGTTCAGTTGCTCTACGTCCTTGTCACCACTTGGTGTTGTCAGTTTTTTAAATTTTATCCATTCTAATGAATACATAGTGGCATATCATTGTGGTTTTAATTTGCATTTCTCCGATGATTTATGATGGTGAGCAGCTTTCCCTACCCTTACTGGCCATTCATATAGCTTCTTTTTCTTTTATCCTCCCAAATTCAGATACTCCAATTACACAGACGTTAGACCCCTTGGTATTGTTCCACAGGTCATTGAGGTTATGTTCTTTTTTTCCCCCTAGTCTCTTTTCTCTCTGTGCTTCATTTTGAATAATTTCTCTTGGTATTTTTTCAAGTTTACTTGTCTTGCTTCTGAAGTCTCTAATTTGCTGTCAAATAGTCTCAGTGGAATTTTTATATCAGATATTTTATTTTTCATCTCTTGAAGTTCTATTTGGTTCTTTTTCTATCATTCATTTCTCTCATAATGTGTTTTCCTTTAAATCCATTATCATATTTACCTTTTAATAGCCATTTTAAAATTCTTACATACTGCCCTGATGGGTGTGGCTTAATTGGTTGGGTGTCATCTCACAAAACTAAAGGTCACTGGTTCGAATCCCAGTCAGGGCACATGCCTGGGTTGTGGGTAGATTCCTGATCAATACTTCTCTCTCACATTGATATTTATCTCCCTCTCTTTCTCCCTCCCTTCCCCTCTCTCTAAAAATAAATCTTTTAAAAAAAATCTTACATGCTGATTTTATCATTTCTGTTGGTTTTTAATCTGTGTTTGATTAATCTCCTGCTTCTTTGTCTCTCGTAAGCTGTCTTTGGATGCCAGACTTTGTGAATTTTATGTTGTTGAGTGATGGATTTTTTTGGTATCCCTTTAAAGGGCATTGGACTTTGTTTTAGCAGTCAGTTACTTAAGAATCAGCCTCACTCATATGAGGCTTGCTCATACACCATTCAGGACAGCTCTAACAGACCTTTAACTCAGCAGCTACTGAGGGTTTGCCATGCCTCTAGGCTCCAATGAATGTTCTTTGTAATCAATAGGTGATTCTGACTGGTAGGAACTTGAACTATTTATTTCCAGTTTGATGTGTGTTCTGGGAATTATTTGGTGTCTGGCTCCCCAGCGGTTGTCCTTTCCTGAGTTGTTGTTTGCCCAGTCTGGCAGAGTTTCACTGCAGGCAAGCACAGAATCCATAAAGGACTCAAGAAAACCCTTATGCAATTTTTTTCAAGTTCTCTTCCAATTAGTTTCCTCTTCTCCTGAGCTCTGCTCCACAGATTCTGGCTGCTTTCACTGCCCTGAGCTCGGATCCCTGTTTCTTCAACCCTACAGGACAGCAAACAGGTCTCTGGGGTTTCTTCCCCCCTTCTCTCTGCAATGTATGACGCAGGGAGTGCCTCCAAGCAGAAAGTGGGGGTAATTGCAGGCCTCATCTCATTTGTTCTCTCCTTCTTGAGAATCGCAATTCTTCTTTGCCTGCTGTCCAATGTCTGACAAATCTGTGTAGATGCCAGTATCCCCTATTTTTCAAAAGTTTGAGTGAGGCCACTTTGCTTTTATGAAAGACGTCCATTAGTATCTGTTTTCACTAACTTTAAACCTGAAGAGGACTTCCACTTTTATGGAAAAAAAAATTCAAAAGTGAAAATAGCATTTAGCATTTGTTTTGCAGCAAGCCATTATAAAGA